CACCAACTGTCTGCAGAGTCAATAGCTAAAGACCTCCAAACATCGTGTGGCCTTCAGTTTAGCACAACAGTTTGTAGAGAGCTTCACAGAATGGGTTTCCATGGCCGAGCAGATGCATCCAAGCCTTACATCACCAAGTGCAATGCAAAGCGGCAAATGCAGTGGTGTAAAGCGTGCCACCACTGGACTCTAGAGCAGTAGAGATGTGTTCTCTGGAGCAACCTTTCTCAACCAAGGTTTCTCTGGGGTGCCTTGAGGTTTCTTCCGGGGTCCCTTGGCAAAATGTCTAAAAATTGTCCAAAACTTGTATACAAGCCAGCGGGTGGAACAATTCTGCCTTTTAGTGACACAAAGCCACAGGTTTTCATTCTGCACCATTATGACCTGCTAGCCGCCAGCATCCTGACAACCAATGACATCATCAGTTGATAAGGAGGATGTCAGCTGCCTGCACAGCATCCTAGTTTGACCCTCCCCTGCCCCTCTCCGTCAGTGCTGGGGCAAACATTAGCTCAGTGATGGAGAAAAACTTAGGAAGAGGAGAAACATTGGCATACTAGTCAGTACCAGTGTGCACAAGTGTATTTGCTAGGGAAGACTAAATCCTATCTGTGTGGATGTTGCTGCATTATATAAAACTATTAGAATAGTTTTTCACATTTTAGAATGGGGTGCCCTTTTAAAATTATGGACAGTCTTGAGGCACCCCATTTTAGCGTGGGGTGCCTCAAGACTGTCCATAATTTTAAAGTGTGCCTTGACTGAAAAAAGGTTGAGAAACACTGGGTTAGCCTATGCCCACTATGCCACACGAGCAGTACAGGATTAAAATAAAATGTGCTGCATGCAGCACAGTGGCTAAATGGTTAGTACTTCTGCCTGGCAGTACTAAGGTCATTGGTTTGAATCCCAGCCACGGCACCTCCTGCCTGGAGTTTGCATGTTTTCCCTGTGCCTGCGTGGGTTTCCTCCGGGTACTCCGGTTTCTTCCCACACTCCAAAGACATGCTGGTAGGTTAATTGGATTCTGTCTAAATTGGCCCTTGTATATGAATGTGAGTTAGGGACCTTAGATTGTACACCCCTTGAGGGTTAGGGACTGATGTGAATGTACAATATATATGTAAAGCTCTGCGTAAATTAACGGCGCTATATTATTATTATTATACAGGACTTATATAGTACAGTAACAATACAGTTCAATACAAGAGGGATTAGAGGGCCCTGCTCCTTGGAGCTTGCAATCTAGGAGGGAGGGGATAGTGGTACAAGAGGTAATTAGCTGTGGGGGATGGAGTGGTTGGGGGAGTAGGGGATTCCAGTACTTAGCTGGGGTCGGGTTAGGCTTCCCTGAAGAGATGAGTTTTCTGAGTGCGCCTAAAAGTGAGCAGAGTAGGCAATAGCTTGATAGCTTGGGGTAGGGAGTTCCAGAGGATGGGTGAAGCTCATGAGAAATCCTGGAGACGAGCTTGGGAGGAGGAGACAAGGGAGCTAGAGAGTGAGAGGTCTTGCGAGGAGCAGAGAGTATGGTTTGGGTGGTATTTAGAGACAAGGTCGGTGATGTAGTTAGGGGCAGTGTTATGAACAGTTTTATACGTCCTGAAATAAATAAATAATATCACTCTACACAACGCCTCTAGCTGAATGGATAGAATTCTCAGTGCACAGATTTCTGCCCAAATACAGCAACAGAGAGATGTGAATTATAAAAAAAAAAAACCCTCTAAATATAAACTTAAAGCCTAACTCCAGGCAAATTAAAAATTGTCCCTTGCAGTGGAGCCATGCTTTCATTGCAAGGTTTTATTGCAAGGTGGATGTCAGTTTTGAAAAGTAGGTGTTTCATGGTGTATTCGTATGCAGACTACACTAGGCAATGGCCACATGTGATGCTGAACCTCTATGGCTGAAAGAATTCAATGAATGAAAGAGGAGGGCCAGTTGGACCTCTGCAAGGGCCCTTCTCTACCAACTGCTGGCAGGGAACAGGCTTTTCTGCTCAGATTGTGGCTGCTTTTTTGAAGAAAGCAACTGTAAGACTTCAATGACCTTTTGTTTTGATGCATCTGGAATGTATTTAGCTGATTTAAACTGAAAGTTCATTTGGGCTTTAAATGCATTTAGCCTATACTGTATCTACAAGTCAAACTGGGACTTTTGAGTTTATATAATTAAAGTACAATTTTCAAGGAGTGCAAACTGGATTTATTTTTCAACATACTCCCCTACTACATTTATACACCTATCCCAGCATTTAACTAATGCCCAGAAAGCTTTGGCATAGAAAGAATTGTCCATACACCTGAACCATCCTAGGACAGCCTGCTTCAATTTATCATCGTGTTTACCGTTCCACAGAAGGATTTGTCTTTTGTGCAATTTCACATATTATAGCAGGGGTGTCAAACTGGCTGCCCTACAAGCAGCCCTACAAGCAGCCCTACAAGTCCCATCATGCCTCTGCCTTTGGGAGTCATGCTTGTAACTGTCAGTCTCGCAATGCCTCATGGGACTTGTAGTTTGGCAACAGCTGGAGGGTCGCCAGTTTGACACCTGTGTATTATAGGCTTACCTATAGGTATAAAGTTGTGCTCAAAAGTTTGCATACCCTGGCAGAAATCGTGACATTTTGACATTGATATTGAAAATATGATTTAACATGCAAAAAAATTGTATTTTATTTAATTATAGATCATATGAAGCCGTTTATTATCACATAATTGTTTGGCTCCTTTTTAGCCACTTCAATACCAGGCACTTTTACCCCCTTCCAGCCAAGGCCAAGTTTCAGCTTTCAATGTTGGCACACTTTGAATGACAATTGCGTGGTCATGCAACACTACCCATAAAAAAATGCTATCATTTTTTCACACAAATAGAACTTTCTTTTGGTGGTATTTAACCACCACTGAGTTTTTAATTTTTTTAAAACAAAAAAAACCTGAAACATTTTAAAAAAATCCAAAACTTTTGAAAAAAATGTGTTTTGTTTTTGTTTCTGTTATAAAATTTTGCAAATAAATAACATTTCTTCAGAAATTGAGGTTAAAATGTATTCTGCTACATTTCTTTGGTGAAAATCCCCCAAATTAGTGTATATTATTTAGTCTGTAGGAAAGTTACAGTTGCAAGAAAAAGTATGTGAACCCCTTGGGATTACGTGGAGTTTTGCATGAATTGGGCATAAAATGTGCTCTGAACGTCATCTAAGTCACAACAATAGAAGAACACAGTCTGCTGAACATAATACTACACAAACATTAGATGTTGCCATGGTTTAATTGCACATAACATGTAAACATTCACAGTGCAGGGAGGAAAAAGCATGTGAACCTTTGGACTTAATAACTGGTTGACCCTCCTTTGGCAGCAATAACCTCAACCAAACGTTTCCTGTAGTTGCAGATCAGACCTGCACAACCATCTGGAGTAATTTTGGACCACTCCTCTTCACAAAACTGTCTCAGTGTAGCAATATTCTTGGGATGTCTGGTGTGAATCGCTCTCTTAAGGTCATGCCACAGCATTTCAATCGGGTTGAGGTCAGGACTCTGACTGGGCCACTCCAGAAGGCGTATTCTGTGCTGTTGCAGCCATTGTTTTGTTGAATTACTTGTATGCTTTGGGTCATTGTCCTGTTGCATCACCCATCCTCTGCGGAGCTTCAGTTGGCGGACAGATGGTCGTACGTTTTCCTGCAAAATGTCTTGATAAACTCTGGAATTCATTTTCCCATCAATGATAACAATCCGTCCAGGCCCTGAGGCAGCAAAGCAGTCCCAAACCATGATGCTCCTTCCGCCATGTTTTACAGTGGGGATGAGGTTTTGATGTTGGTGTGCTGTGCCTTTTTTTCTCCACACATAGTGTTGTGTGTTCTTCCCAAACAACTCAATCTTGGTTTCATCTGTCCACAGTATATTCTGCCAGTAGTGCTGTGGAACATCCAGGTGCTCTTTTGCAAACTTCAAACGTGCTGCAATATTCTTTTTGGACAGCAATGGCTTCCTCCGTGGTGTCCTCCCATGTACTCCATTCTTGTTTAATGTTTTCCTTATTGTAGATGTGTCAACAAAAATGTTAGAATGTGCCAGAGATTTCTGTAGGTCTTTAGCTGACACTCTGGGATTCTTCTTTACCTCATGCAGCATTCTGCACTGTTCTCTTGTAGTCATTTTTACAGGACGACCACGCCTAGGGAGAGTAGCAACCGTGCTAAACTTTCTCCATTTGTAGACAGTCTGTCTTACCGTGGATACATGAACATCAAGGCTTTTGGAGATACTTTTGTAACCCTTTCCAGCTTCATGCAAGTCAACAATTCTTGATCGTAGGTCTTCTGAGAGCTCTTTTCTGTGAGGCATGGTTCACATCAGACAGTGCTTCTTGAAATCAGTAAACCCAAAACAGGTGTGTGTTTTATAAGGGCAGGACAGCTGTCAGCAACACATCCAATATCATCACACTGATTGGAGTCAAGGTTGGCTCACTCCTGGCTCCAATTAGCTCTGGGAGAAGTTATTAAGCTAGGGCCTCACATACTTTTTCCTCCCTGCACTGTGAATGTTTACATGTTATGTGCAATTAAACCATGGCAACATCTAATGTTTGTGTAGTATTATGTTCAGCAGACTGTGTTCTTCTATTGTTGTGACTTAGATGATGTTCAGAGCACATTTTATGCCCAATTCATGCAAAACTCCACGTAATCCCAAGGGGTTCACATACTTTTTCTTGCAACTGTATATAGTCCGCAAACCATAGTATATACCGTATTTTTCGCTCCATAAGACGCACTTTTTTCCCCCCAAAAAAGGGGGGAAAATGTCAGTGCGTCTTATGGAGCGAATATGGAGCGGCCGGTATTTCCACCGCCGCCGTATCAGAATACCGGGCCGGCCGCTCAGCTCTGCAGCGGGACCTTACCTGTTCCTCTATCCAGCGGCACGCTGTGTTCCTGGCGGTGCTCTTTGTGAATGGTAAGGCGGCACCTGGGACACATGACAGGTCCCAGAAGCCGCCGGACCAATCACAAAGCGCAGCACTTCTCGCTCATGCGCACTGGGCACCCGGCTGTCAAGCCGAACGCCCACACTACAGAAGCCAGGAAGGCAGCACGCGGCTGGATAGAGGAACAGGTAAGGTCAAAGAACAACTCCTCGGAAGTAAGAGCGGGTACCTGTCAAATTCAGGTACCCGCTCCCCCCCTCCCCAAAGGTCAGCAGTCATCTCCTGTACTGTCCACAGTCTCTGGTCATCTCCTGTACTGTGTCCGCAGTCTCTGGTCATCTCCTGTACTGTGTCCGCAGTCTCTGGTCATCTCCTGTACTGTGTCCGCAGTCTCTGGTCATCTCCTGTACATCTCTCTGTCCTCCTGTACTATGCAGTCTCTGGTCATCTCCTGTCTGCAGTCTCTGGTCATCTCCTGTACTATGTCCGCAGTCTCTGGTCATCTCCTGTACTATGCAGTCTCTGGTCATCTCCTGTACTATGTCTGCAGTCTCTGGTCATCTCCTGTACTATGTCCGCAGTCTCTGGTCATCTCCTGTACTATGTCCGCAGTCTCTGGTCATCTCCTGTACTATGTCTGCAGTCTCTGGTCATCTCCTGTACTATGTCTGCAGTCCATTAGTTCAGAATATATTTTTTTCCTGTTTTCAGCCTCTAAAACCTAGGCGCGTCTTATGGTCAGGTGCGTCTTATGGAGCGAAAAATACGGTATATCTGACAATCGATCAATCCTGATGTACTGTTGGCCAATCTCATTTCTTGAGGCCCGAAAATGCCAGGATAGTACAAATATCCCCCAAATAACCCATTTTTGGAAAATAGACAGTCTGAGGTATTTAGTAACAGGCATCATGAGTAGAGATGAGCGAATTATTCAAAAATTTGATTCGGCTGATTCGCCGAATTTGCGGAAGAAATTCGATTCGATGCGAATTTATTCGCTGCGAATTTAACTTATTAAAAGGGTTTCTAGGCTTCAGAGAGCCTTTATATTAGTGCAGAACACTGTACCTTTAATTTAAATGCCCTTGGAGTCTGCTTGGGAAGAGAAATAATACTGTCAGTCAGTATGACATGCAGATGAGTGCCGTCGATCTTAGAATCACAGCACACTTCACTCATTTGGGCAGTCACGGGGCACAATGAAGAAGAAGAATGAAAAGAAGAAGAAGAAGAATGAAAAGAAGAATGAAAAGAAGAAGAATGAAAAGAAGAAGAAGAAGAATGAAAAGAAGAATGAAAAGAAGAATGAGAAGAATGAAAAGAAGAATGAAAAGAAGAAGAAGAAGAATGAAAAGAAGAAGAATGAAAAGAAGAATGAAAAGAAGAAGAATGAAAAGAAGAAGAAGAATGAAAAGAAGAAGAAGAAGAATGAAAAGAAGAATGAGAAGAATGAAAAGAAGAATGAAAAGAAGAAGAAGAAGAATGAAAAGAAGAATGAAAAGAAGAAGAATGAAAAGAAGAAGAAGAAGAAGAAGAATGAAAAGAAGAATGAAAAGAAGAAGAAGAAGAATGAAAAGAAGAAGAAGAAGAATGAAAATAAGAAGAATGAAAAGAAGAATGAGAAGAAGAATGAAAAGAAGAAGAAGAAGAATGAAAAGAAGAATGAAAAGAAGAAGAAGAAGAATGAAAAGAAGAATGAAAAGAAGTAGAAGAAGAATGAAAAGAAGAATGAGAAGAAGAATGAAAAGAAGAATGAAAAGAAGATTGAGAAGAATGAAAAGAAGAATGAAAAGAAGAAGAAAGAATGAAAGAAGAAGAAGAAGAAGAAGAAGAATGAAAAGAAGAATGAAAAGAAGAAGAAGAAGAATGAAAAGAAGAAGAATGAAAAGAAGAATGAAAAGAAGAAGAAGAATGAAAAGAAGAAGAAGAAGAATGAAAAGAAGAATGAGAAGAAGAATGAAAAGAAGAAGAAGAAGAATGAAAAGAAGAAGAAGAAGAAGAAGAATGAAAAGAAGAAGAAGAAGAATGAAAAGAAGAATGAAAAGAAGAAGAAGAAGAATGAAAAGAAGAAGAAGAATAATGTAAAGAAGAATGAGAAGAAGAATGAAAAGAAGAATGAGAAGAATGAAAAGAAGAATGAAAAGAAGAAGAAGAAGAAAGAAAAGAAGAATGAAAAGAAGAAGAAGAAGAATGAAAAGAAGAAGAAGCAGAATAATGAAAAGAAGAATGAAAATAAGAAGAAGAAGAATGAAAAGAAGAAGAAGAAGAATGAAAAGAAGAATGAAAAGAAGAAGAAGAAGAATGAATGAAAAGAAGAATGAGAAGAAGAATGAAAAGAAGAATGAAAAAAAGAATGAGAAGAATGAAAAGAAGAATGAAAAGAAGAAGAAGAAGAATGAAAAGAAGAAGAATGAAAAGAAGAATGAAAAGAAGAAGAAGAAGAATGAAAAGAAGAAGAAGAAGAATGAAAAGAAGTGGAAGAAGAATGAAAAGAAGAAGAAGAATGAAAAGAAGAAGAATGAAAAGAAGAAGAAGAAGAATGAAAAGAAAGAAGAAGAAGAAGAAGAATGAAAAGAAGAAGAAGAATGAAAAGAAGAATTCCAGTACAGCAAAAAGTGTATCTGCAGAGAGCTCCGCTATTTCTGACAGTTCTCTGACAGTTCCTTCACATTTACAGCGGTTGAAACATTGTATCTATTTGTTTCCGAATAAAAACATCTGTATCCTAAATGGAAACAAATAGATACAATGTTTCAACCACTGTAAATGTGAAGGAACTGTCAGAGAACTGTCAGAAATAGCGGAGCTCTCTGCAGGGACACTTTTTGCCGGCTGTAGAAGGGAAGAAAATCGGCCGATCGGGAAAAATTCGATTCGCGCATCCGAAGTTTGCTAATATTCGGATTCGGTGCGAATCGAATTTTTCTAATATTCGAAACGAATTCCACTTCGCCAAGTTCGATTCGCTCATCTCTAATCATGAGTTTATTTGAAGTTGTAATTTTTTGTTACAATTTTTGGGAAACTTAAAAAATTAAAAAAAATTAATAAGTTTTTTTTTTTTTTTTTTACATATTGTCATCAGTCCAGTACAGTGTTATCATATAACTGGAGTGGTGGTTATCAGGGTCACTGACTGGTGACACTATGGAAAAAAAAATAATTTATTTTTTTTTTCTATCATTTTTTTCTTTTTTATCACTTTTTTTCTATTTTTACAATTTTTTTTCAACAAACTGTGACCAGAGCACAATACAATGTTACCATAGTAACTACTCTGGGCAAGTGATCAGGATTTATTTTATTTTATTTTAATACACATTACAATTGCTAATAAAAATGTATTTCAATGATATTAGCAACCATTGTTACTTGACATACCTCACTGGGCTTTTTTTATGACCACGGGGCCAAAAATTCAAGGGTATGTAACCCTTGATCAGAGCAATTTGGGTGATTTCTGTTATCATTATGATTTAAAAAGCAGCCAAACAACTAAGTGATAATAAATGGCTTCATATTATCACTATCCTTAAATAAAAGACGTGTTTTGGCATGAGCAGTCATATTTTCAATATCAATGCCACAAATTCATGATTTTGGCCAGGGTATGCAAACTTTTGCGCACAACTGTAAGTCATAAAGCGCAGCTTACCACCACTTTAAGAAGCAAACGGTATTGGCAACATATGGTCTGATAATTGAATAATTCATAGATGATACTTTTTATTTGTTCAACCAGCGGGTTAAAATAAACAAAAAAAAAATGCAATTCCCCATCCATACACACCATGTGTGAATGAGGAATCCCTCCTGCAGCATTATTGTATTCTGACAGCGGGGAGAGTTACATAGTTACATAGTGAGTCTGGCTGAAAAAAGACAAAAGTCCATCCAGTTCAACCAAAAAAAAAAGTTATAATCCTATACCCACCATTGATCCAGAGCAGTGGTCTCCAGACTGCAGCCCAGGGGGGGGGGGGCAGATGTGCCCCTTGCTTGCCTATATCTGGCCCTTGAGGCATTTTTCCTCCCACTGACATCAATGACGGGGCATAATTCCTGCCGCTGAAATCAACCACGGAGCACTATCATTCCTATTGACACCAACAATCAAGCACTTTTCCTTCTACTGACACCAATGAGGAGGCACTATTCCTCCAACTGACAGCAACGACGGGGAACAAAAGATGGGACATTGTTCACTCCCACTGGGCACAGTCTGGCCCCCCTAAAGTCTGAAGGACGGTAAACTGGCCCTTTGTTTGGAGACCCCTGATCCAGAGGAAGGCAAAAAAACCCAGGAAAGAATGATCCAATTTGATCTTGCAGGGGAAAAAAATTCTTCCTGATCCCCCGAGAGGCAATCAGATATTCCCTGGATCAATTTTACCTATAAATGATAGTATCCAGTTATATTATGTGTATCTAGGAAAGAATCCAGGCCTTTTGTAAAGCAATCCACTGAGCTGGCCAGAACCAACTCTTGAGGGAGTCTATTCCACATTCTCACAGCTCTTGCTGTGAAGAAACCTTTCCGTATTTGGAGATTAAATCTCTTTTCCTCCAGACGTAGAATTCCCCTTTATCCTCTGTAATGACCTCAGGGTGAATAACTCTACACCAAGTTCACTATATGAACCACTGATGTATTTATACATGTTGATCATATCCCCCCTTAATCTCCTCTTCTCAAGAGAGAATAAATTCAGTTCCTCTAATCTTTAATCATAGCTGATCTCCTCCATGCCTCTTATCAGTTTGGTTGCCCTTCTCTGCAGTTCCCCAATGTTCTTTTTGTGAATTGGTACCCAAAACTGAACTGCATATTCCAGATGAGGTGTTACTAATGATTTGTACAGGGGTAATATGATATCTCTCTCTCTGGAGTCTATATCTCTTTTAATACAAGAGAGGATTTTGCTCGCTTTAGAAATCGCAGCTTGGCATTGAATGCCATTATTAAGCTTGTGATCTACCAGAACTCCCAGATCCTTCTCCACTATTGATTCCCCCAGTTGTACCCCCCCCCCCTAGTATGTATGATGCATGCATATTATTAGCCCCCAAGTGCATAACCTTATATTTATCAACATTAAACCTCATTTGCCACATAGTTGCCCAATTAAACCCTGCATTGAGGTCAGCTTGGAGTTGGAGACATCCTGTAAGCACGTTTTTCCACTGCAAATCTTGTAGTCATCTGCAAAGACTGAAATGGGATTTTTAATCTCAGACCCTATATCGTTTATAAATATATTAAAAAGTAAGGGTTCCAACACTGAACCTTGGGGTACACCACTGACAACCCTAGACCATTCAGAGTATGAATCATTAACCACTACTCTCTGAATACGATCTTTTAGCCAGTTTTCTATCCATTTACATATGGATTTTTCCAAGCCTGTAGACTTTACCTTACACATTAACCGTGTGAGGGGAACTGTGTCAAAAGCTTTTGCAAAATCCAAGTATACCACGTCCACCGCCCCCCCTCTGTCCAAGGTTTTGCTCACCTCCTCATAAAAAGAAATCAGATTTATTTGACAACTTCTGTCTTTCTTGAATCCATGCTGTATGTTGCTTAAAATATTTTTTTCCAGCAAGAACTCATCTATGTGGTCTTTTATTAAACTCTCCAGTATCTTCCCAACTATAGAAGTTAAACTAACAGGTATATAATTACTTGGTAAAGATTTTGATCCCTTTTTAAAT